TGTGTGTAAAATATGATTATAACCAAAAAGTATAATTTTTGTACATGGCATCCATTGCATAGATTGATCTTTTATTAAGATATAATTCACATACCATAAACCCACCCTTTTAAATTGTAAATTTCAGTAGTTTTTACTATATTCATAAAGTTGGGCACCTATCACCGCTAATTCCAGAACATTTTTGTCATCTCCAAAGGAAACTGTACTCATAGTCACTTCCCATTTGATCCCCCAGTCCTTGGCAACCACTAATTAGATACTCCCCTCCCCTTGTTCCCCCAGTCCCTAGCAGCCACTAATCTACTTCTGTGTCTGTAGATATTCCTATTCTGAACATTTCTGGTAAATGGAATTATAGAATATGTGGCCTTTTGTGTCTGCCTTCTTTTACTTAGCATGTTTTTAAGGTTCATCCATGTTGTATTTTGTATCAGTACTTCATTCCTTTTTATGGCTGAATAATATTCCATTATAGGAATATGCCACATTTTGTTTATCCATCATCAGTTAATGGACATTTGAGTTGTTTAATCTTTTTTACTATTATGAATAATTCTGCTGTAAACATCCATGTACAGGTTTTTGTGTGGATATGTTTACATTTCTCTTAGATATATATCTAGGAGTGGAATTGCTGGGTCATATGGTAACTGTTTAGCTTTTTGAGGAACCGCCAGATGTTTTCGAGAGTGGCCTGCACCAGCAGGATATGAGAGTTCTGATTTCTCCATATCCTTGTTAAACTTATTATCTGTCTTTTGAGTTATAGCTGTGATGTTGGTACCTCAGGTGGTTTTGATTTCCATTTCCCTGTTGGATGGTAATGTTGAGCATCTTTTCCTATGCTTATCAGCCCTTTGTGTATCTTTGGAGAAATGTCAATCCAATTCCTTTGCTCATTTTTATATTGAATTTTTAAAAACTTTGATATTGTATGAGTTCTTTATATAGTCTGGATACAAGTCCCTTATCACATGTACTGTTTGTGGTGTTTTTTCCATTTTCTCTCATTTTGTGGGGTTTCTTTATACTTTTTTGAATAGTGTTCTTTTAAGTACAAACATTTAAACTTTTGATGAATGCTAATTTATATTTTCTTTGATTGGTTGTGCTTTTGGTATCATATCTAAAACAATTGCCAAATCCAAAATGATGAAGATTTACTACTATCTCTTTTCCTAAGAGTTTTACAGTTTTAGCTCTTACATTGAGTTCTTGATCTATGTGGATCAAGGAATAGGTAGGTAGGAATAGGTAGGAATCCAGGTTCATTCCTTGTATGTGCCTGTTTTTTTCCATCACCATTTTTTGAAAAGACTATCCTTTCCCTATTTAATTTTTTTTTTTTTTAAGGGGGGCAGAGGAAAAGGGAGAGAGAGAATCTTAAACAGGCTCCACACCCAGTGAGGAGCCTGATGTGGAGCTTGATCTCACAACTCTGAGATCATGACCTGAGCCAAAATCAAGAGTTGGACGCCTAACCGACTGAGCCACCCTTGCGCCCCTATCCTTTCCCTGTTTAATGGTCTTGGCACCCTTGTTGAAAACCAGTTGACCATAAATAATATAGGTTATCATTTTTTTAACCATTTCTCTACGTTGGGCATTTAGATCACTTCCAGATTTTTGTTTTTCTAAATTATCCTGTGTTAAACACAGCATAACAGGCATAAGGCTTTTCTGTTTTTGAAGTTATTTTGGTAGAAAGTGTTCTCAGAAGTGAAATTACTGGGTCAAAGATGAAATGAGTGTGTTTTGGAGCTCATTGAATGAGGCATTGAACCTTCAATGTCAAGATGTTAAGAGCAACAGAATGCTTCTTTATTCATCAGTTGCTATAGCTTAAGGGCTGGATTTCTATAAAAGCCTTTTGCTGTAAGATGGATGGATTCCCTGACTTACTATTCTTTGACTGCTTCTAAGAGACTAAGTAAATCTAGAGTGAAAAACTTCAACACCAGGGGCAAACAGGATGTCATAATTTTCTATAAAGAAAAAAAAAGTGTCATTACACGCAGTAGGAAAATAAGTCTTTGAGAGAACTGGGGTTGAAATTTAGACCTTAAATCAGTGCCTTGAAAGTCCCTGGAGCAAAAACGATGTTTTATTCTTAGTTTCTCTTCTGACCTTGATAATCAGGTTAATTTGCATTCATCTTAGTTTCAGAGATGGCTAACTTAAATCTGTGTTTAGTAGATAGTACCTGGTTAAAAAAAAAAAAAAATCAAATGCAAAAGGCTATTAGGAGAAGATCACGTTTCCTTTTCTTTTCTTTTTTATTTTATGTTTCCTTTTCATTTTGCCCCTCATTCTCCCAGTTCTCCTTAGGGGTATCCATGGTACTATTGTTACTTGCGTTTGTATGGACTAGTTCATACATAGATTATCTCTGGAAAGATAGTATATACAAAATTAAACATTTTAAGGATTTTGATACTTCCTGACAAATTCATTTTCAAAATGGTTACTTATATCAGTTTATGGTGGCAATACAGGGCTAGTTAGAAGATTCCATTTTTGTTTATATTTCTTTGAATATTCTTTCCTTGATATTGGATATCCAGTTTATATTTCCTCTTGCGTGTATTGTCTGCTCATGTCTTTTGACATGCTGTTCATTTTGATTGGAGTTGTCCTTTATGAGATTTATTTTGGCAGCCTTTTGTAGTTGGTTGTTTTACAATAGTCTGGATTTGGGGAGCAAAGTTAAAATGCTTTTTGTAACATGCTAAGCGGTATGTGAACTGAACAAGGGTCGAGGCAGTAGGGAAAAGGAAGTTAAATGCTTGAGGGAGAAATTTATAAGATTTGGAAAGTGCATCCAGTCCAAGATGACTTCCAGGTGAGTTAGAAAGGGATTAGTGCTATTAAAAATAAGGAGTGATGTGGAAAGAACTAGATTTCTGTGGAAAAATGAGATTGTTTTGGGTGGATAAACTGAGGTTTCTAGAGGGG